TGTCCCACTTGTTGTTGATTCTTCACAAAAAATTTGAATTTTATATCTTTATGTTTGAAGCCTGAAATGTGGCAAGAGGTTGAAAAGTTCAAGGGGGCCGAGTACTTTCGCAAGGCACTGTATATATCTTAAGTGAACATTAGTGAGGTTTTTGTTTTGTTTGTGCAAGCATGAGGATTTGAAGGCACTTAAAGAAATATGATGCATATTACCTCAAGAATGAGTCAGATGTTGTGATACAAACGTAACCTGGAATGCGGTGACATTACTGGCAACTAATGTGTTAAACCTGAACGGTTAGATGACCCCTTTCAGCCAAGCCATGGGACAAACTGGGCAAGCTACTTATGTTCTAGTTAGAGGTTCGCATTTACCCATTGTTATAAATATCATTGTTGGACTTAACGCATGGTTAAACTTATATGTACAGGCTCAAATATATACATACGGCCCCAGTTGCAACTCCGCCACACTTTGTTTGCCATGAACAACCTTCTCACATTGTTCTGGCTGGATATTTGCCCACCCTTCTTGCAGAATTGTTACTTTGTTTAAATTTGCCTGTTTCCTTCCACAGACTTTTAGGCATAATACACACATTTTTAATAGGGTTTGTTTGGATTTTTTTGAAGTGAGGTTCTGCAAAGTTATTAAAAGTAATAGTTCCCCTGCCTGTAGTAGAAGGATATATCACTGTGAGCTTTTCAGGAATTTATTATGTCCTCAGAGTGATGGAAGCTAACAGCTAGGCAGACGTACAACGCCTGTTTAAGCTAACTTCAACAATTTCAATACACTCAAAATCAAAATATTAATAAAAGTTCTTGCTGTTTTAACAGATATTGATATTCTGCAATTTCACAACAGATGATTGTTGGAATTTTTATTTTTTTTTTAAGCCAAACTATTTCTGTGTTCCTATGTAAAGTTACATTGGTTGAGTCTGCTGGCTGCATCAATCCTCCGCACACCTGAATCAATCCTCCGCACAGGGAGTGGTGTGTGGAATAAACTTTAGGATTTTGCATAAAATGTGCATCAGCATCAACGATTGAATGTAGCACCTTTTCTAGGTTTTGTAGTTGTTTGAAAATTAGATCAGCTTACCCACAGACGCAGTTGATGAGGCGGATTTCTACAGCGCATGTCTGACTAGTTTGTTGGCCTCTACCACCTTCGAGGATGTACTTTAATTTCCAACAAAACCCATGGTGACATGACATCTTTCTACCAGAGACAAGGGAACTTTGCTGATAACTTCACAAAACCTCATCTCAAAAAATCCTAGACCTTTTTAAATAGGGTTAAGGTCAGGGTTTTGGGGACACCTTTCAGAAAAAGCCCAATGTGTTTGTCTTCCAAAGCCTGTTTGGATCTATGTTTAGAATCACTGTATTGCTGCAAACCATGTTTTAAACATTCGATTTAAGTTGTCACCCTGAGAAGAAAGAAATTCGGCAAGTGTTGGGATTATGATTATTGATTAATTAATATTTATCAGGGGCTGCACGGTGGCGCAGTTGGTAGCACTGTTGACTGTTGCCTTGCAGCAAGAAGGTCCTGAGTTTGATTCCCGGCCGGGGGTCTTTCTGCATGGAGTTTTCATGTTCTCCCCGTGCATGCGTGGGTTTTCACCGGGTACTCCGGCTTCCTCCCACAGTCCAAAGACATGCCTGTTAGGTTAATTGGTCACTCTAAATTGCCCTTAGGTGTATGAAT